ATGGACTTATCTAATTGCTGGGAATTGCTTATGTATTTCTGGGAGGGGCCTATATGATTTTGAAAAATACCTGATGCTCCAGGAGGCCGCGGGCGTCGAACCCGAGCGTCCGCCAACCGCGTCGGCCTCTTGCGAGGTTCGCTGCTCGGGGCGCGCTGCGCAGACATTGCTGCGGCTGGCATGGGGCGCCCCCAGCCGCGCGCCGCCGCGCGCTAGCCGATGCTCGCGGCGCCGGCTGCATGACCCGAGCCCGCGCAGCGGATGCCCCTCGGGGCGGGCCCCGCCAGACTTGCCCCCACCAGGATTCTCCCATTGGGGGGGGGGGCGCCGCAATTTCACCGATGCGGGGGCCGATCCCATGCCCAAGCCCCGCCTCGCACATACCTCGACACTGGTCAGCCACCACCTGGCCATGCCGAGCCGACCGACATCTACCCCTCCCACGCAGCCTTCTTCCAACAGAATGGCCGCGGCAACAGCCGCTTCCGCTGGCGCACCCTACAGGAGAGTCCCACCTGATAAACCGATTCTCAGGCACGTCGCGTCGAACACGCCACAGCGGCGGCGGCTCTGCGGCGAGATACATCGCGCGCAGCGCGCGGCTCATGCGCCCGCGCCGTGCACGCGAGATCGCAGTTCCAGCGCTCGCGCGCGCGACTGAGGGCTGGTTACATCCACGAACTTCTGCAGCCCGACCGTCGGCCGCGGGCGCGACGTCGCAGGGCCAGCATCGCGGCGCCCGCGGGCGCCGCGAGCAGCCCCGCCCCGCGCTGGTCCATGCAGACCGCCCAGCGACGACAGCCCCGAACGCGCTTGCCCGCACGGGGCCGCCCCGATCGGCGGCGCGCTGGGAAGCCCGTCGGGCCCTCGCAGCGCGCCTGCGCGGCCCGCTGCCATTGCCCAGGAGGCCCGCATCGAGCGGCGCTGGCGCGCGCACCGCTGCCCCCCCGCGGCGCGGGCGCCGAGGGTCTCCCGCAGCAGCGCGGCGCGTGGGGGGGCGGGGGCGCCCCGACGCCAAGGCGGCTGGGCAGGCGGGTTCGCATGGCGCGCGCGCGAACGCGCAGGAAAGGGGCGGCCGCCCGCTGTACATTCCCACGTGCGTAGCCGCATGGGGCCAACGCGGCGCGGTCCTTGGCACAGCGCCGACGGGGCCGCAGCCGAATGGGCGGCCAGGCGAGGGGGGGGGGGGGTAGATTGCGAAAATTCAGGCATCGGGGGGTGCTCGAGGGGGGGGGGGTAGATTGCGAAAATCCGAGCATCGATCTGCGCCGTGCAATGTAAAACCGCCATAAGGTTTTGGTCGCCCGAAGCATTCTCGATGCCAGAACGCATGGCTCCTTGATGGCCTCTCGATGGATTTATGATGACGCTTTGATGGCCTTATGATGACGTTTTGGTCGCGCGCTCCGAATGACGATGGGTTTATGATGACGTTTTGATGGGTTTATGATCGATTTTGGTGGTGTTTTGATGGTTTGGCGGTGCCTGCGCTGTAATTTCGATATCTGCACATGACATAGTACGTTTTCGCAGTACGCTGCCCTTGCCCCCGCTGAGCAGGCGGCTCGAAATACCTGTCAGCATTGGCAAGCCAGTGCGCCTCTGCCCTTCACGGCACGGCATTACGCTCCCGTTTGATGGCTTTATGATGACGTTTTGATGACGTTATGATGGCGTTTTGATCAACCACCCTTAAACTCGTTCGTTTTGTGATGACGTTTTGATGGATTTACGATGGCCTTCCGATGGGTTTCCGATGGGTCCGCGGTTGGGTTTTGATGGAATGGGCCAGCGCACGAAACGTCGGCGTTCCGCGTTCGATGGGCTGGCGCGCCACGCGGAGCCGCGGCGCGCCGCGCGTAGTCGACGTGGCGACCTGCATGCGTCTGCCAGGGCGGGCCACGGCAGCGCGTACACAGCGGTGTCGGCCCCGCCCGCGCGCCCCGAGCGCTTGGGGCGGCGGCGCATCCAACTGAATGCAGCGGTTACTCGGCCCGCAAACGCAGCCGCACGCCAGCGCGCCCATGGCGTTAGCCGCGCCGCCCGACACCAGCGCCTGAGGCGCGCGGGGCGGCGCGCGCGCGCGGGCGCGCGTCAGCGGCCGAGCAGGGTAGCACGCGCGCCGCGAACGCTGTTGAAGTAATAACGCACACATGCTCGAATGAGCGAAACGGGCGCGGGCGCGCCCGCGCCCAGGGCCCAGGGCCCAAGCCCTGAGCTTCGAGCAGCGCGCGCTGGGCAAGAGACTGAGGGCGCCCAGGGCCCAAGTTAAACCCAAACCCACCGTCCGAGAGTCGCAAATGTTGCCGCGAACCCCGCGCCCCAAGCCCTGCGCCATGAGCATGGGGCGGCCACCTCTGGGCCGCAACCCATTTCAGCCATGGGCCTGGTGCTTTGAGCCCGAAGCCCGAAGCCATAGGACTGGCGCCCAGCGCCAGAAAACTGGCGGCGCAATCCCTGAGCCACAGACCTATGTCCGAATTGTCGGGCCCTCGTCGAAGAGCTCTGGGCCCAAGGCCCGCCTCGTGCCCCGAGCCTGGAACCGAGCGCCCAGAGCCCCCGAGCCTTCTGCATCCAATCCGCGCCTTCAACATGTAGCTGCAAGCTTGAAGCAGGGGCCCGCGCGCCCGTAGCCGCGCGCGCTGAGCTCTGCGCGTTCGGCCCCATAACAAACGCTGCGCCCGAGAACGCGGTCGCGAGATCATTAGGCGCGGCGCGCGAGCCAATGCATCTCGGTTGCAAACCATGCACCGTCGCCCATGGGCGTTGCGCCATCGGCCCGCGCCTCGAGCGAAGCCCTCGGCCACGGGCCCCCCAGCCTCAGTCGGGGCCCGCATGCACTGCGCATTAAGCGCCGATCATTGGCCCCTCGGCGATACGCAACAAGAGATGAAACTGATACCCAGAGCCGCACTTGTCCCAGGAGCAAATGGATAATGGTCTGCGCCGCCGCGCTCAGCGCATTGCGCACGCGGGCCTGGGCTTCTCAGGAAGCACGCACCGCGCAACCCTCATAGCCAATGCAGCCCGCGCAAATCACGAGGCAACCTTTGGCACTGGCATCGCGATGAAAGCCAGAACAAGAAGCGATACATGAGGCACCGCGCACATAAGCGCGGTGCCGCGGCGTCGCTTTGACTCGGCGTAGCAGCGATGCAAACGCGAAGTTGTGGGGGGAGACGAGCCCCCTGCGCGGCCGCCATAGTGCGATCGGATGGGGCGAGAATGTCGCGCGGCTGCCGCGGCGTCGCGATATTGCCGCGCCTTGGCACGGCGATGCCGCGGCGTCGTGGCGGCATCGGGGCAGGGCGGAGAGGCGAACGCCCTGCATATGTTGTCGTGCCGCAGTGCCGCGGTGTCGCGGTGCCGCAGTGTCTCGCGGGGGCGAAGGCGGGGCGGGCAGGGCAGGCGCCATGCGTCGGGCACTCAGTGGAAGGGGGGGGGGGCGACACCCAGGACAGCCCGACCCAGGACACCCTGACCCAGGACACCCTGGCCCCACAGTGACACCCTCGGGCTCTGGAAAGCCCTCCTGGACCATGGTTCCCTGGAGCCCTTGGTGCACCGCCCATCTAGGCACGTCCGTCACGCGGATCGCTGGGTCTGGCGGACGAGGGCCGAAGGCCTTGTATATCTGGCGGGCCGAAGGCCGAACGCTTCAGATTCGAAGGACAGCTTGGTCGGGGCGAGGCCGATCCCGCCCGACCGCCTTGCCAGGCCGCTTGGCGGCACAGCACAGCGGTCAGGCGGGTTCTCCTCCTACCCGCCCCCTTCTCCACGAATCCGCGGGGCGTCGGTCCCTCGCGCGCTCTCCTGTTATCTCCACCTCGCTCTGTGTGTGATCAAGCCCGAAGGATGGCGGTCCCTTTCCAAGACAGAGCTCCCCCTGCGACCCAGAGCCCCACTGGCCCGCAGCACGGCACAACACGAGCGGCACGGCACAGACCCCCACACCCCAGACGGCACCGCGGCACGGCACAGCACGCTCGCGCACTTATCATTGCGTTACGTTAAGCTCGTCTTTTACCACGACAAACGATTCCATAAGTTACGCTAACTCCCCTTGTTCTATTTGTTGCGTTGCATCTGCTGCGCTGCATTTGCTGCGTTGCATTTGCTGTGTTGCATTTGCTGCGTTGCATTTGCTGTGCAATTGCTGGTAGCAACGGCATGCACGACGCGCAAGGGAGCTAAGGCCGAACTGATATCCAAGGCCTCGGCGGCGTCGCTTCGGGGTCCGTTTGGGGCCGGTTTGGGGTCCCTGCTCGCCCCGCTCCTGCTGCCCTCCCCTCTTCCGTTTTCTTCCCCCCTTCCACGCCCTTCCCGCTATTGCAACGCGCTGAGTCCAGCGAGCTCGTAGGCCGCCGCGGGCCCTGACCCAAGACACCCCGAGCCCAAAGGGGAACCCTCGGGCCAAGAGGCCCCGAACCCTGGAACCCTGGAGCCCCAGAGACGCCGACCATTTCAGCGCGCCCCTCACGCGGGGCACGGGCACGCGCGCGTCGTGTCCAGATGGTGCACTTAGGCAGCGAAGCTGCAGTAGGGTTATTCATACTTAGCGGAGGGGCATGGGCAGCAGCAGGCACGGGGGAGAAGCAACAGAGAGGTGGAAGATACGTGGAAACATCAGGAGGATATAAGAAAGGGCAGCCGCAGTAGCAGCGGCAAGCACGAGCTGGAAACAAGCTAGGCTTCGTCGGAAGTCTGACGCGTAAATCTTTCAAACATGCCCACGTGCTTGCACGCTGACCTTATGAATTGCATGCGATTGCATTGCGATTGCATTGCGCTGCGCTTGATGTTATTGCCGTACATTCGTGTATCTTGATACCCAGTCGAACGTGAGATGCATGCACCATTTCGAATGTCTATGTTGTCCTGGCTGCGTTAGGCTTGCTCAGGCTATGCTGGGACATGTGACTGGCAAAAGACGAAGTGACGCGAAATCAGAATCGTAGCAACAACACGTGCATTGACCTCGCATTGTTTTCACAAACCGTCTAGGGGACGTGGTCTGGCTCGTCATCCTCGCCGTCCCTCCTGTGGCGCTCCACGGCCAGGAGCGCCTGCGCGGCTGCGTTCCCAGCAGCAGCTGCCTCACGGAGGCGACGCCGACCCTCGCGCCGCGCATCGAGGCTGGGGTTGAAAATGTGCACGTGGTCGTACTGGCTGGGGCACGGCCCGTCCATCAGCAACCAAGCCATCAGGAAACCCAACGGCCTGCCCTGGCCAGCACGGTTCGCCACAGCGCTCGCCCTTGCGGTTCTATTGACGCAGCAAGTGCAATCTATGTTGTGCTCAGGACGCCTGCAATCGGCTTGAAAACGGCACGTGCGGGGGTAGTAGCGAATGGTGCCGAACTCCATCCCGAAGACCGCAGCTGCGGGTGCTGGCGGAAGCCCTCCGCCTCCGCCTAAAGGCTCACCTCTACCTGCGTCAACTGCTGCGGCAGCGGCCTGAAACAAATCACCAGCGTCGGCTGGAGGCGGAGGCACGTCACCTCCAGGCTCGGCGAACTCAGGTCCTGGCTCTGGGTCAGGGTGCCCACCGCCGCTGCCCGACGGCCCAGGATCGCCGCCGCCACCCTCGTCGCCTGAGAAGAACAAATATTCGAGATCTGTCTCTGGCTCAGGCTCATTCCCGCGCTCCTCTGGGTCAGAAGGGGGCCTCTCGGAATCCCCGCCGCTGTCGTCGTCGTCGGGGAGGTCGTCGGTCGGCACTGGTTTGGGCGGGCCGCCCTCGAGCATGGCTGGCCCGTGCTTCGGCTTCGACCCAGAGCCCGACGGCCCCTCCCCAGGCCGCTTCCTCTTCCGAGGCTTCGGTGGTGGAGGTCGGACAGTCCACAGGTCGCAATCCACGATCGGGATCTCCAAAACTCGCTGCACCCAAGGACGGCATTGCGCTACTCTTCGGCTGTCCGCGTAGAACTCGTACCACTTGACCTGGAAGGGCCGCATGTCCCACGACTCGCCGAAGCAAGCGTCAGCAAACTGTTTCAACGTGAGCCTATCTAGAACTTGGTGCACCCCAGCGCCGAGACGGACAGGCCTCAGACCAATGCAGTCCAGACGATCTCCCTCAGGTTCACGCTCCATGCGAATGAACGTCGGCCTCCATGGCTTGCCGTAGTGGAGCGCAATGTGAAAGTACAACGTCCTCTCGATTGCTGGTGCAATCGCAAGCGAGCCGCCCGCGACCTCTCCATCGGAACTGCCATTCGGGGGAGCTGGGGTGGACATGCTAATCACGTACCTGTTCGCAATCATCTTGGCCTTGAAGAGCTTCTCGCCGACGGCGTGCTCGGCCACGCGCCACACGATCATCAGCCTGGCCTTGAAAACATTCACGATCGACGCGGGCCCTTGGCAGATGCACCCTTCGGATTCCCAACACAGGCGCCGAAGCCGCGCTGGCGCCGTGAGCGGCTTGATGTCCTGCTTGCGGGTGTGGAGGTGCAGCGCTGTCCATTTCTCAGCCTCTGTCTTCACGCTGCCGATGTCCAACGACCGAATGACCTCGGACGCGAGCGACTCTGGCTTCCGAACATAAATAGCCGTCGGCATCATGGCGCGCTGGACGGCGAAGTCGGCGGAGCGCTCGTTGGCGGGCACATCGTTACCAATGAAGAACCAGTCCTTGGCATATCTGTCAGCATCTGCATCGGACCTCGCACGGAGGTCGGCCTCGTCGGAGATGTCCTGGCGAGCTGAAATTATGTTGCGTCTCTTGTAGTCTTGGGCTGCCACCGCTGCACGTCGGAAGATCTGACTGGACCCCGTCGTCGAGACGACGTCGTGCACGGCCTGGCTCAGCCCATCGCCGTTTGCGGCATCGTTGAAGGCACGTACTTTCACGCTGGCACCCGCCAATGGCGTCGTCGTGCTCTGCCGTGCCTTATGGCCGAAACCGTGCCTGCCACTCTTGTACCCCTGTAGCGCGACGGCTGCCATGTCCTCGAATGGCTGCCGTTCCTCAGGGGTGAGGGCGCGGTACTTGGCTGACAGTTCGGCGCCTAGGGCGGCGTCGACGAAACGGTTCTCCGCCTCCACGTGCACGAACGCTCTCCACACCCATGGCCTCATCGAGTAGTGCACGCCGCTGCGCTCAAGGCGCTTGGCATCCACCTTGCGCGCCTCGGCGCTGACCGCTGGGGCCGCTCGGAAGACTGACCTCTGAACCTTCATCTGCTGTCTGCACAAAGCAAAGCCGCCCATAGAGGGTAGATCGATACCCCAAGAATACTTCCCAGTTTCACTCTGCCTCAAGTTCTCGCTGTGCGTGCGCTCTATCATGGCCGTGCTCGTCTTGAGTAGAGGTAGAATTGATGATAGCTCGGCCCTCGCAACCTGACCATTCAAACCGCCACGCGCCTTATAGTGGGAAACGAATCCAGCCGTGTACTCATCGAACACGCACGTAGGAGATCCCTCCAAGTAGTCCAGCGTGGTCGGGTCCCTAAGCAAGTTGAACGTCCTGTACGGCGGCCTCCTGTGTCGAACCTCCACGAGCTCGTAAGAAGCAACTGCCAATCTGGAAAGAACCAAGTACACGTCGAGCTGGGAGTCTTCCTGGACCCTTGTCAACAATGGCCAGTCGGAGTGGAAAATTTCGCGAGACATCACACTTGCAAACTTATGGGCCTCCTCATCGTCGGATGCTGCCCATATCGGGTAATCTCTGGAGCCGTAGTCGACGAGACATTTCTGCTGTTTGAGTTCCCATTCAGTGCCAGATCTCGAGAGCTCGTCCAGGATGAGATAGTGGCAGTGGCAGTGGGACCTGAGGCGCAGCAGCATGGGGGGAGGTCGCAGCAGCAAGGCGAGGATGAAGAGGGGGGGAGGGAGGAGGAGGACGAGGAGGAGGGGCGAAAGTGGGAAGACCAGGGGCAGGTAATAAGAAGGGAGCGGGAAAGGAGGAGGAGAGAAGGCAAGGTATAGTAGGAGGGGTCGGGGAGGCGGCAGGAGGGCGACGGATCACTGGGGGAAGGGAGAAATGACCTGGACCATAAGTATAGGTCGTCTTTGAAGCGGCCGCTCATCAACCATTGCAAAGACTGGCTCTCGCGGGACTTGTTCTCCTCGCGCCACACGCTCACGTCCTTGTGATCATCCTGGCGGGGGTCGTCGGGCATGTCCTGCGGGCGGTGCATATCGTCGTCGCCGCCAGCGAGTAGAGATGACCTGAAATGTTCGCAATACGCAATCGGCAAGATATTGTGGCAAAAGGATGCAAGAGCAAGCCCACACACGGAGTGATGCGCCCCAGTCCAATTGTTTCTATCCAGCACATTGGCCACATACGACGTGAGGGCCTTCACGCCAACGGTCTCCATGATAAGCATAGTCTGTTCCCGAGATGCGCAACAGCCGCAACAGTAATGCTCTACTCGGTCCGACCTCCTCCAATCTCCATTGAACAGGCGAGTGACGATGTTCTTCCTGAAGACATCCGAGGCGCACTCGGTCGGCATGAAAGAATTGATCGCAATACGTCGGTAATCCTCAGCCTCGGCATCCACGTTTGCCGCATTGATGACGACCAACCGCTCTCTAATGATATCTCGCATCGCAGCGCGCAGGGAGGCGTGGTGACCGCGCATGCTCAGCTGAAACCTGATGATATTCGTGTCTATCGGGCGCTGCACGTCCGATCCAAGAGTGGCTACTTTAATTTTTTTGTGTGCGTCACAATACAAGTGCAACGATGCTCGGTCGGGGTGCTTCTGTCGAACCTCATTATCGAACCTCGTGTTGGCCCCGGCCTCGTCACTTATGATAAGGTCCACTGTGCGAAAAAACTTCGAATCCAATTGTGGGTCCAACTCCATCTCCAGATGGGCCATGTACCGATCAAGATATTCTGCTTTAGTGCCGTCCCCGCTCTGCAACAATGAGGGCTCGTTGATGGCAAAGTTCATGATGCGAGTCTGGCCGCCCTTCTCCTGCTGCAGGCAGAACGACCTCATGGCCGCCACCACGTTCACCTCGTACTTGGCTTTGTTGTCCTCTAATATGCAAGCGCCTCCAGTCCCAGCCGAGCTCGGCGACACAACCCGAATATAATGTTTGGTGCCATCGCATGCTCTCATGCGAAGCTGGACCAGAGGAATGATTCGCGCATCTGGCTGACCATCAGACGAGTGACGAACGCTGGTGCAGTGCAACATCCACGATGAGAACAATTTCACGGTGCTTCTCAACGCCTGGTAGTACGCGTGGCTCACTGCACACAAGGATTGATGCCAGTTCGGTTCAGCCATGCCACAAAACTCACTCATTTTCTTGGCGCTGCACAGGGTGAACCTATCGCGTTGGCTCCCAGTGCCACCGACAATTATGCTGCTAAGACATGGGACTCCAGATGACACTGCATCCTCTGGCAAAGGCTCCAAACGATCACAGATCGCCCTGACCTCTCGCGATATCAACCGAACCCCATGTTTCACCACTGGTGCTGGATGATACAAGCTCGCACTGCTGATCCGAAAAACCTCAGGGGCAGCCATCGGTTGAACGGGGGCTGGAACGGCAACGAGATGACCTGCAGCTGCTGCTGGTGGTGGTATTTGAAAATCTTCGTCCGAATCTGCAGCTGCTGGCCCTGGTATTTGAAAATCTTCATCCGAATCCGATGCGACTGCTGGGACTGGTATCTGAAAATCCTCTTCCGACTCCGATGCAGCATCCAACATCAATCGCGCGCAGCAGAAAAGCGCGCAGCAGAACAGCTTCATTAAGCGGAGGTCGGGTGACGAAACTCCTTCAATTGCCAAAACGGCTGAAGCAAAGTCCAAATCATGAGAACGAGGAACATGTCATGGTGCACTGATTGGAATCATGAATGGTGTATTCTCGGCAACTGCTCTGGTCAAGGCGTTCAATCCAAAACTGACAACGCCGCCTCCACTCAAATATTGAAGGACCCAGTGGTGCCTCAAGCCGGACACAGATTGCCAATGGCGGCTCCAAGATGGCCAAGCACGCTTCCTAACCAGCCTATGGGCCCCAAAACAGCCGACATGGCTTCAAGAAAGCCTGTAATGGCCCCAAGACAGCCTATGATGGCCCCAAGACACCATATGACGGCCCCAAGACTGCCTATGACGGCCCCAAGACAACCTATGTTGGCCCCAAGACAGCCTATGATGGCCCCAAGACAGCCTATGATGGCCCCAAGACAGCCAATGATGGCCCCAAGACAGCCTATGATGGCCCCAAGACAGCCTGTGATGGCCCCAAGACAGCCTATGATGGCCCCAAGACAGCCCATATGGCCCCAAGACAGCCAATGATGGCCCCGAGACTGCCGTTATGGCCCCAAGACAGCCTATGATGGCCCCAAGACAGCCTGTTATGGCCCCAAGACATCCTATGTTGGCCCCAAGACAGCCTGTTATGGCCCCAAGACAGCCTAGGATGGCCCCAAGACAGCCTGTTATGGCCCCAAGACAGCCTATGATGGCCCCGAGACAGCCTATTATGGCCCCAAGACAGCCTATGATGGCCCCAAGACAACCTATGTTGGCCCCAAGACAGCCTATGATGGCCCAGAGACTGCCGTTATGGCCCCAAGACAGCCTATGGTGGCCCCGAGACAGCCGATATGGCCCCAAGACTGCCTATGGAGAGACGAACCGTGGAACATATCCACGAAGAGGAAGATGAAGCGGTGGAAGAGGAGGAGGAGATGCATCGTGGAAGAGGAGGAGATAGGAGAAACTAATGGTGGAAGAGGAGAAGGAGATGCATGATTGATATGATGAAGAGGAATATGAACAAAAACGATCAAGGTCGATCGACGACTGATATGATGAGGAGGAGGATGCAAGATGACTTATGATAACATGGGAGGCGAGTTTTCTGCATTTGACACGACAACGTCGTTCATGAATTGCGCGAAGCAGCGCACGGGCAAAACAAATGCTGCACAACGCAAGGGGGCGACCAGAACGACGAGAGGCCTTGGAATCGGATGCCGCCGCGAACGCTGAAACTATGCGCGAACCGCAAACGGCGCGAAGCAACCTACTGCGCGTCACCAAACGCATCAACGACGACTGGTCATCGTCGAAAACCAATCAATGAAATGCACCTTTTGCGCCGCGAACAAAACCCCATCAAGGTGTTGGGGGGGGGGGCGCAGCGCCCATCAAACCCCCATCAGCATTCTCTCAGCGCCTGGGGCAGGGCATCAAACAGCAGGTTTCGTTTCCATGGCCGACACCCATCAAAATCTATCAACCCGAGACCCCCCTCAGAGGCTCGAATATAACTGTCAACCGTCCTTGTAGAACATGCGGTCCCACAGCCCTCTGGCCGTTGTACGTCACGTAGCTTGTCGTAAACGTTTCCCAAGTTGTCCTCGGGATCCAGTTGCGGAACCAATCGTTGTACGTGGTATCCTGGATGTACACATACTCGTCGTTGTTGATCGCGATGTAGATCCAACATTTGATGTAGTAACTCCAGTATCGAAGACCCCAATCGCTGTCCTCGAGATTGTGCCGCCAGTAAGCAGCGTAATCAGATGTACGTGCTCTCTTGGCGCGCGGCATCGCGGGCATGTAGTCCTCCGCGCCTGAGGCGCTGGATGCAGCGGCGTCGCCAGGAGCAGGGCGCGGCGGCGGGCGCGGCGGCGGCCGCGGCTCCATGGCGTCATCGGACTGTTGGGAGTGTGTATCTGGATCGGTTCTCATCCCTGTACTACCCCCCCTCTGGTCGGTGTGTGACGGATCGAGGGAGCCTATCAGTTCGTTGGCAATCGCGGCAAGCTTGCGCTGGGTGAACTGTTCACGGGTTCCGTCCCTTCGAAGGAGAGAAACCGTAACCAGTCCGCGCGCCTGCCGCGTCTGCCTGTCAATGCGCCCCTCGTTCAGCCACCACTTTTTCCGGCCAGCCTGTCCTGTCCTGATGCTGACGTCAAGGATGTCCCACGCGTCGCGCATGTCCTCGACGGCCCAGGGCTTCTTGCCGACATTCACGCGGGCACCTGTCATCTGATGATGGAACTTGAGGTCGTTGAGAAATCGTTGTATGAGATTGGCGAATGGGTAGTACAGAGGTCGGTCGTCCTCGGATTCGCCCATTAATCTGCATTCGTGTGCAGGCGGGCTACCGGCTTCGACCCACTTCTGATACCTCTTTTTGGACGCATTGGCCAATCTCCGCAACTGATCTTTCTCTGTGCCGATGTGCGATCGCGCGCCCGTCATAATGACGTGCGCGCCATCTTTCATGTATCTCGCGATCTGGTCCTCGGACAACGTCGTCTTGATCCAGTTCGTCAACTTCTGCAGGTACGCGAGATCGCTCTGTGTGGCGGTGCTCTTACCTGTGGCGCCTACGGCCACAGTGTATTGCCAACATATATCACAAAGTGTGCCGTCACCTGTGACAATCCCGAGGGACAGATCTCGACCGCAATTCTGACAGAGCGGCATGGGATGCAAGATCGTCTCGGGGGCCCCTGCCGAAGTCAGGTGATCGCGGGGTCCCCAGCGGGTGTCCTGACCGCGAGCGAGGCTCTGACCGATCTGATTGATCGCCTCACGATTGATCTCGGTGTTCGGCCTGGAAGCGATCGATCTGCTTAAACCCTCGATCTCGATCCGAGACAACCTTTCCCCTGGCAGTCCTTTGTACCCTATCTTGACGTTGTCGGTATCCCCAGTACCGCCATGGCATACGTTCTCCTCACGAAGACGGCGAGCCTGCTTCTGCAAGGTAGCCTCGTTGTCGCCCTCCTCGCGCTTGAGTCCCGTCTGCTCGGCTATGATACGT